TGCTCTGTCTAACGAGTTGGTCCATCAGTAGCAACTCAACACATATGGATGCCTGTAAACGATGCTTTTACGTCACATTTAAATTCATGCAGAACATTTAAAAATGTGCACAAATAAAAATTTACCTCCATGGCACTTAAACCCCTACGACTACTTCCTCTTTGGCCGGTCTCCAGCCACAAACATAAAACACAATTAGGCAGAATGGTGACGTCTATATCAGCAGCTGTATACAAGACAGTGGGTCAACATGACAGCTTCTACAAACATGCACCCTTTTTAATGGTTGAATTCTGAGTTTGTTAGAAGATGTAATTACACACTTATTAATGTATATTTATGAGCACAGTATCCTGTTCTTATGTTAAATAACTTCAAAAAACAACTGACTGCACCTTTAACTCAGAGAAAATGATCTTTTACTTGAACCAACCAGATCTAAAGCAAGCAAACACATTTCTCACCACAAACAAAACACAGTTGCCATATGACTGCAAAACTACGCCGGAAACATTGTTTTCACTCCAAATAGTCAGACTGCCTCTTGGAAAATTGGAAAAATTAATAATAATATTGTACTACATAAGTCAAATACATGTTTGTGTTGCTTTTTAAAATGGATTTTATAATAAAATGGCTGCAATCAGCTGCCCACACAACATTCGATCCATATATACACAGTAGTGTTATCTTATGAGCATTTTTTTAATGTTTCTTTTAAAAACATATTTAAGACATTTACCTTTATATGTGTAAATCAATACCTTTCTCATTTTGTATTACTTGGTCATCTTCTTTCTAGACCCCACTAGACAATTTGCATAATAATCACCTCTACTGCCTTCCAATTTCAGGTTACAGCTTAGTAAAAATCCATCTCGCAATTTATTGCTTTTGCCCTCCTTTTCCTTCCCATGAGCTTTATTTTGTTCCATCTGAGAAAAGCATTTGATACACAATACTCATTTTCACAAACTCTTGTTTGCTAGAAAGTTTAGGAAATATGCCCAGTTGACATAACCAGTGGTTATTCCTACAAAGCAAAAATTAATCCTAAAGGGAACACTGACATGTGTACCTAATCTGAATAAAAAATAATAAAGCCTATTTTTATAGCATTTAGCAAAACCAGCATTACAAAGAGCTTCCCAGAAACACAGAATAAAAGAACAACCCCCCCCCCCCAAAAAAAATAAAAAAATTCTGTTCTAAAATTTGATATAATTTGTTGCATGAATGAGTCTTTAGCTGTGTTTTTTTTTTGTTTGTTTGTTTTTTTTAAAGAAGAAGCATTATAAAGAATTAAGCTTAACTTCTTGAGGCACAACTGGGAAGTCCTAACAGGAAACGCTCGATTGCCTTTTAAGTTCGAGGTGGGAACAGTTAACAGGTTTCTTCCTTAGGATCAGAGGTTGTGTAATGGTTAGTGCAAGTACTGCAGTTTGGGTATAAAATCTGGGCCAGACAATGAATGGCTTTATAAGTAATAAGTAAAATATTTAAATCCTTTAAAAAAGTAATGGGCAGCCAGTATAGAGTCATTAAGACTGGAGTAATATCTTAACTTTTCTTGGCTCTTGTAAGAAGTCTGGCTCCTGCAAATCTCAAGTCTGTTTAATGTCTTCTGATTGATATTTATTGAAAGACAATTACAATAGTCTAACCAAGAAGCAATAAAAGCATGAATGATAGTCCAAGTGTTATTAAAACGATTGATAATGTTTCTGAGCTATTCCTCATGTGGGAGTATCAGGACTGGCTGAACTTGTTTATATGTTTGTCAAAGTTGAGATTAGAATCAGATAATACTGATAATCGCATGGCTGCCACTCCCTGAGCCTGGTTCTGTCAGAGGTTTTTTTCTTATTAGAAGTGAGTTTTTCCTTCCCACTGTCACCAAAGTGCTTGTTCATAAGGTCATCTGATTGTTGGGGTTTTCTGCACTATTATAGGGTCTTTACCTCCCAATCTAAAGCACCTTGATCTTAATTTTTGTTTAAATGCACACACATGCATTTCTTAATATGAAGTCAGAAAGATCTATCCATAAAGACCACAAAAGATGGACCTAGCTTGCAAGAAAGGTGAAACCTGAACAGTGCTTTTAAACTGCATTCTTTTTAACAGCCACTAGGCGGCGATGCCCTTGATTGCAATAGGACCTATTAGAAATCAGTGGAAAAACAGTCCTGGACTTGACCTCTGTTGGCACTTTCATAATGAGTTTATAGGCTCAGCAACTAATCTGTGACCATACTGAATGAAAATTTATTTTTAAAGTTTCAGGAAGGAAGGCTTTTTGGGGTGATGCTCATTGGATAATGACTTGTGACTGACAAGTTGGTAGCTAATGAGTGTGAGATTTCATAGTCAGAAATGGAGATACAAATGGGTGATGTCATTCTAGCTATGTCCATCTTTGTTTGTGAGTCCATCCACAAAGCTGTATTAGCTGTAGAGGTGCTGTAGCTGTACTGATGCCCATGGAAACCCAGTTACCATTGAGGTACTTCAAGATTTCTAATTAAGAGACATTTAAAAATGACACCAACAACACAAGAGATGGAAATTGACTAATTCCAGTGTTTTGTTTTGTTCTTTTTTTCCACTGATTTTTAGAAAAGACATTATGTTCTGTTCAAGTTCAAGATTTTATTATTATTCAGTGCAATAATAAAAATTATATTTGTGCTTTCATCTTTGCAGATGAACCCTGCTGACCCTGCAGTTAAATGTTGGCCACCTCCAACAACACTCAGAGACAACTTTAGGTAGACTTATGGACTGTTAGGTGTGAGGTGGCGGTTTTGACTGCCTAGAATGGAAACACTAACAAAATACACAAGGGAGTCCTGTTGTTACTCCGTTGGTGGACGCACACGATCACGATGCTGAGCTATGAGACAAACAACGCAATGACAGACGGACTGAGAGAACAGAGTAAGCATTTCTTCAGTTTAGGGGGAAACTGCAGAGGCGGCAATGAGAGTCATGTTGTTGATGCTTATGTGGTCACATGCAAACCTAACCACCATCCCTTGGGATATCCTTAAAAGAGGTTCAGATGCTGATCGAAAAGATGATTTCCCCCACTGACCCTGCAGAAATGAAAGGGTGTAGCAGGTGGTATCACATCAGGAAATTATCACGCACTTTGCATGTGGATGTTTCACTTAGGTCAGCATTCTGAATATGTGATCTGAATGGGCCAAATGGGCCAAGCAAAGAGAGAGTCAGCGTCTGATTTTTGTTCTCATGCATGTATATGTGCCTCAGCTCTGAGCTTGTGCCTCACTATGTCAGCTAAGAATTGTGGTCTGTCTAACTGTGATTCTCTGGGTCTATCTCTCCGAGCAGATGTACTCTTTTCTGCTCCACAGCTGCATCCCACATGTTTTCACGCTGCTTGACAATGCACGTATATTCTCTTCTGCTCGGAGCTCTAATGTTAGTGGTGATACTGGTGGTGCTGGTGGTGGACGATTCCTACTATTCTTATGGCCCTGATCTGCCCTTAAACCAGAGTTAAGCAAGTAGCACTCTGGCCCCGCTTTGGTCCTGAAAAATCTCCAGTTCTGTAATGTGAAGAATGTAGAAGGTAGGGGGTCAGAACTGGCAGGGTCTGCCACAGCTTCATAGCACACTGAGTCATTTCCATAATTGCCCACAATCAAACCAACCCCTCTTGGATTCCACCCGCTCCAGATTCCTGTAGATAAGCTGTGCCGCAGCTTTGGTGAGTGCTGGAGACCCCCAAGTAAGAACAGGTGCCGCTAATGTAACTGATTTCAGGTTTTCCCAATGTTTCCCCGGTAATTGCTCTGGGTTGAACAGTCCCTTTTGGATTGCTATCATGTGACTTTCCTGAAGAGCGGAATGAAAGAGGGTTTGTCCCACATTTGGTATTATCAGGAGACTTTAGCCAAATTAAGATGCCTTACTGTAAGTACGACTGTACAGGAACAAATCACTGGGCATCAGATTGTTAGTGATTGATTCGCATTGTAGCCAATTTTCCACTGCCTACAAGAAAAGTACTGCAGAGCAAAGCCTGTAGACTATAAACGAAGTCAAACAACCCATGACACAATATGCAGTGTGACGTTTCTCTAATGCTACAGTCTCTTAAGAGATATCAGCCGCTGCCACAGCAAAGCCATTCAAGAACCGAGGCAAGTCATTTTTGACATGACTGTTCATTCATTTTATTCCACTGTATATAGTATTTTATTTTATTCTATTCTGTACAGTTGTGTACTGTATTTATTCTTATAGTATTCGAATTTTTGCCTCATAACTTTTGCACTGTCCACTTCCTGCTGTGACAAAACAAATTTCCCACGTGTGGGACTAAAGGTTATCTTATCTTATCTTATCTTATTAACTAAAATACGGTGAAAATCTGTATATGGGGGGGGGGGGGACAGACAAAAAAGTAGTATAAAAAGGCACAGGTTGATTGTTTTTAACAAGTTTAAAAGAGCATATGCAAGTCTTTACGTAGCTAGTAATTACTGCGTATTAAAATAGTCATTGGCTAGTTTACCCATTCTTAAAAGCCTGCGTTAGCTTTCCCCAGAACCGTGCAGGTACAGTTTTAGTAAATGTACCTTAGGTACACCACACTACATCAGAAGAATAATGCTTACTTGACGTACAACTGTAAAGGTTTTTCATATTTACGAACAACGACCGCCGTCTTAGGGAGGGAATTCAGGAGAAGTTTAATAGTCTATTACATTTCTCTCTCGCTATTGTCAAAATAAGTCATTACACTGACGTGATAAGTACAGGAAGGCAGTGAATAATGAGCAACAGTCGTTTTAATCGCCTCTACCGTCGAATGAGCGTTCGGTACTTTACTCCCCCCACCACCTCCTGTCTCCGTCCGCCGCTCTGCCAGGTAACCGTTTACCTCGACGTGGACGCGACTGTGGCCACACGCGCGCTCCCGCGAAGTCATACGTCACTGTGCTCGCTCCTCTTCTCGCGCGCTGGTTAAAAAGAAGGAGGAAAGAGCACGGGAAAACATGTGAGCGCTCTGAGGACTTTAGTGAGAGGCAACTTTTATTTTTCTTATATGTTTTTTTACCTGTGCATGTCCAAACTGCCGTGCTGTGCTCAAAAAGGAATTACATCTTAACGGAACGTCACGGCTTTATTTTTTGTATTTTTTCCACTTCCACTGTTTTGCGGGTTTTGGCTTTTTCTGCTCATCAGGATAAAATGTGTTATTATTTTTGCTTTCATATTGTTATTATTATATTATTTTAATTTTCGGAGTTATACTGTATAACCAGAAGGGAAAAGTAGGGCTAATTTATTTTAAACACCTGTTTTCATACTAACGAATCACATTTAGAACACCTGCGTGTACAAATTTGACTGTTGTTTTTTTTTCCTGCGTGGAGAAATATATACATATAAAAATATAGTGCACTCCAGGTCAACATCTCTCTCTCTCTCTTTTTTAAAGGGACGCGTTTTGTTTTATTTTCTATTATTATAATTAATATTATTGCAAGCGTATTTTATTATCTTTTGAGACTATGAAGCATTTGCAATTTGTGCTTGTGCTGGCCATCGCGGTCAACGTGTGGGAATGTGGGGACGCAAAGTTTGGCGAGAGAGGAGAAATGAGCCCCAGGAGAAGAAGATGTTACGACGGAAGCTTGCCCAAGCGGCTGAAGAAAAGGGAGCGAAAACTGTTGCTTGACGGCAGCAGCGGAGGAGAAGTTTGCCACAGGCTGTATCCTCGCGTATCCTGCTGCCCCACCAGGAGAGCCGCCTATCAGATCCTGCACCGCAGGGATCCCAGGGTAAGTTAAAGTCCGTCCGCACACGCAGCATTTTCTTCTAATGAAAGGACTGGCTTTTCTTTCTTTTTTTTATTATTATTGCTAAGGCACCTGAGGACATGCATTTACAGCCTTTGTGCATTGTCATTCTGCTTCTTACTACCGACAGCTGAATTTGAGGATGGCAAGAGGAAGTTGCCTTGGGCTATGCTGCCAAGAAGAAGTCCTAATTTTTATGTTGCTGTGGGAAAGCTATTGTAGCCTTAGTGGTAGGCGACCTTTAAATAGCTTCAGATGAAATCCCCATTCATAAAACTGTAAGCATATGCGTGGCTTAATTTTATTTATTTATTCCCCCCTCTTTTCAGTATCGCTGTAGCATTTATACAATCTTCGGAGAACAACTTAATCTGCTTCTATCGGAGGCAGCCTTAAAAGTGAACAAAAATCCTGCTTTCAGCAATAAAATGTTTAGCAGCTTCGCATAATACGGTTCAACTCTAATTCGGTGTGTCCAATCCGCTTCGTTGTTACCATGGCAATCACTCGCCCGATTTACGTTACTTCTACGCTGGCCACAGTGAGCTCCAACCGCCGGCTGAGAGTGACAGAAAGAGGCGCTAGGTAACTAACTGTTGAGCCATTTACCCGACAAGGTAGGAGTTCGGCTGTACACTTTTTTTTTTAAGTCAGCCGTCGACCTTTTTACTGGAACTGGAAGCTGATAAGGATTTTTCCCCTCTTGCCGGCTGTTTGGCAGCCGTTGGTTCTCAGAGTTAACGCTCAGACGTTTGTTTGTCTAACGGCTTTTAAGTGTCTCGCGCTCTTACCTTCCACTCTTGACCGTTATGGCGCCAACCGAGGTAATAATGTAAGTGTTAAAATGTAATGCAGCGCAAAGCTCAGAGGGGGGGGGGTTAATTAAACCGCTCTTCGGAAATGCAGGAAGGAGAAAAAAACAGCGAGTGTATGCGGCCAAACTTGTAGCAGATTCCTTTGGATCCTCACCGGGCCATTCTCATGTAAACCACCCCTCGAATCATTCAGTGGCTGGGTGGTATCTCACTTTGTGTTGCGACAAAAAGCCATATTGCATCATTTAATTTGCTCAAGTCATGCAAATAAGAAGGGGGGGGGG